ATGCAACTCCATCCTGACTGATAACACCTAAGTAGAATCGGTCTGGATTTCCTCTTATTCCTTCTTCTAGCTTGGATCCAGGAGCACGACTGGACAGCTCCTGGGCCATCAGCTAAGGGTAGATGAGCAGAAAGACAGCAGCCTGGGGGCTTAAGGGACTGTGCAGCCATCTTCTAGCCCTGAAATTACCCACTCCCTAATTCCTTATCACCAGAGATTCAAAAAGGTCACACATGGTTAAGCACATTGTCCAGCCCCTGACCCAAAGCAACCACTGCAACACTAACAAGATAACCTAACGCAAGCCTGGAACAGATCCACGCTCACTGACATTAGTCCCCTTCATTTCCTTCCAGTCAAAAAGCTATCTGGGGAAAATAATGACAATAATGTTGATTAGTAAAAAAATCAATCTACAGCCAAGTGCTATAGATTATATAGTATGATCCAAATTTCAATTGGGGAAAATAAAGAACATGACTATGAAACTCAGAAGTGTTCAGGAGCTTTGACCAAACATGATTATGAAGGGGAAAAATGCATTTTCATTCTAAGAAGGGCATTTTTGACCAGCTACTTTAACATGTCCTGCTGAGTTTCCCCACAGGTCAAGGACACAAGGGGTCCCAGCCCAGGGGAATACAGCAGGGAGCCTAGGGCCAAAGAGGTGAAAATGAGCGTGCATTTGCATCCCTCATGGGCTTCTTGACACATGGCCTTGGGTGAGCATCCGGAGGAAGCAGGACTGGCCTACTTTGTGATTTATATCACATGACTTCAGCACCACGCATGCGTGTGGTGAGCGACTACCGTTTTATTACACCAAAAGGAAATATTTTTCAGATTATATCAGCACAGCTGTGGTTTCTCCGAGTCTTACAACTCCCTTGCTCATTTCTAAGGAAATTTATGCTCTTCCTGAGCAATGTGTTTTGGACAAACTAGACTTCGTTCAATAATTCCTGCAACACTGGACCATGCCGGCTTGAAAAGGATAGTCCTGGCTAAGCAGAGAAGAGCTAACCTCTGTCCAGGGAACATGGCATTCTCAATGTGAATAATCACACCGTCACACTCTTCTCCAACGACACAGGCACACATGTCAACACCGCATGTTCTGAAAAAGACTTTGCGGTGATTAAAAGTTGGCCCTTCACACCTAATAATATCCAGCAAACATTTCACCAGAACATGTTTACAGTGCCCTTGGGAAACAGCTACGTCAAAATATCCTGCTGGGGCAGGTGATAGCTCAAGCACTTAAGTCCTTGCCACCCACATGGGAGACCAAATTGAGTTCCAGTTCCTGGGTTTGGCTCCAGTCCAGCCCCAGCCACTGAGGGCATTTGAGGAGTGAATCAGTGGATAAGATCTCTATCTGTCCAGCCCTGTCCCTCAAATAAATACATAATTTTTAAAAATTATTAGAATGTCCTGCTACATTTTTTTAAAAGATCTATTTTATTTATTTGAAAGGCAGAGTTACAGAGAAGAAGAGATAGAGAGAGAGAAATCTTCCATCAGCTGGTTCACTCCCCAAAGACTGCAATGACCAGGGCTGGTCCAGGCCAAAGCCTGGAGCTTCCTCTGGGTCTCCCATGTGGATACAGGGGCTCAAGCACCTGGGTCATCCTCCGCTGCCTTTCCAGGCACTTTAGCAGGGAGCTGGATCAGAAGCGGAACAGCCAGGACTCGAACTGGCACCCACATGGAATGCCAGTGCTTCAGGCCAGGGCCTTAACCCGCTGTGCCACAGCACTGGCCCCTGCTACATTTCTTATACTTTAAACAAGGGTACTATAGTGCTCCAGTCCAAGTAGGACATCGCAGGGAAGGCCGTGTATTAAGTGGGAAGCACTGCACTGGACACAGAAATGAAAAATCCCCTGCTCCTTGGGAACCTCACAAAATAGTACTGTAACAAGCAGACATGGACTTTGGAAAACTGGAAAACGGACACATTTGGTTATACAGGTAACTGTTATATGTGGCAGAATTTAATAAATTTGAAAAAGCTATAAAGAAGTTCAGGGAGGTCGGCACCCAAAGCACCCCACTTCTTTATTGCATCTTGACAACAACCAAAAAACAGTAGACAAAAGGAGACAAAGGAATAACAACCTTGACAGCTGACGTATTGAGTATTTGGGGGAACGTGTAATGGCACAGGTGTACTGCTTGTGTTAGAAACTAAGGAACTTGATCATTGTTGTTGGAACTTAGTTAAAGGAGGGATGCTTTGCTCACAATGATAGTATCAAACCTAGCCCAGTCACCAGCACTTGTAAGTCATCCACATGCATTGTTTCCTCCCACAGCAGACACAAACGAATCACAAAGCTACCTGACAACTGAGACTGCCAATAGCCAACCGGAAATATCTCACTAAGAATGAACCACAGGAAGGCAGGCGTTTGGCACAGGGGTGAAGATGCTACATGCAATGCCTACATCCCATGGCGGAGTACCTGTGTTCAAGTTCTGCTTCTAATTCCTGCTTCCTGCTCATGTGCGCCCTGAGAGGTAGCAGGTGATAGGCCAAGTACCTGGGTCCCTGCCACCCACATGGGAGACCTGAATTCAGTTCTGGGGTTCTGACTTTGGTCTGGCCCAATTTCAGATCTTATAGGTGTTTGGAGAGTGAACCAGTCAATCAGAGGTCTACCTGCATCCATCTGTGTTCTTTCAAAAAGAAAAAAAAGGAACACTAATGGAGTTAGGGCTGAAGGAAGTACATCATCCTTTTTATGATGCAAACTTTTTTTCTGGAATTTCTATAAATATTGTCCATTCAGAATCTCAGCAGAAAAATACACAAATAACTTAAAATATTCTACCCATTGAAATGGTTCAGCCTTTCATAATGACTGTGCACGCAATAATGTAATGACTCCTGTGTCCTATGGGAAAAAGGATTTCTTCTTCATTATTCAGGAATGTTTGCTTGGGCTTGCCACTGGCAAAAAGAGGCACAGAATTCATTTGCAAACATTAAAAGGGGAATGCTTCCTACCATCCCACTGCTGCAAAGGACAGATAAGATAGGAGGCTCGTTTATATTTATTTAATCAACTCTTTTAATCTATTTTCCAACACAGAGATAGAAGTCAGTTGATACGAATAAAAGCTCCCACCTATAAAAAAGCCTCTTTTGAATTTCTTTTCATTTTTTTTCTGTTGGCCGAGCTATTGAAAACCGTTTCCTTATCTCACATCACTGCATAGCAAGTTGCTATCGGTTTTTATGCACAGAAAATCCCGTGGATTGGCTTACCCAGCTGCCTACTGAAGCTTAATAGTTATGCCTCTCCTGTATGCATTTGCAACCAGTGTTTGAGGCGAAGATTCATCTTTGCCCATCAATTGCACCAGAAGGAGATTTGGATGAGAATTGCACCGAGGTGATTGTGACCATGACAACGGCAATGGCAGTTGAGGGCTTCCTTATCCTTAGAGCACGGTTCTGGCACTAAGTTCTTGCCCTCAGTAATTCCAGGAGTCAACCTCTGCCTCCCAAATTTCCATTCTTCCAATGACTTATTAAAAGTGCCCAATTCCCTAGACAGAATACTTTTCTTCCAAACATACCTCAGGGAGACTTATTACCTTGCCTAAATCCTGAAGAACACAATTAGATTCTTCACTGCTCGGTCTCAAGATACAACATAGGAAGCTGTGTCACATGAACACCAAACATCTAGAGAATCATCTATAGTTTACAAGGCCCACAGACCTGCATTATCTAACCCGGCCTTTACAGCAGTTCTGTGTGCTCCACAGGACAGGGACTGCTCCACCCACTATGCAGGGGACAGCCCTGTCCCTCTAAAGAGTGAAGCGACTTATCCAAGACAATTTAGTAGTAAGAGATGGGTAAAAAAAATTCAACTCCATTTATGACTTTTAGTCATTTCCTTTGACACTAAGAAGCCTCCTAAGTACACATGAAGAGGAGAGAGAAGAACATACAGATGACGGCAATGAATTAGACCCCCTATTTCCTATTATTTTAAATACTCCTACTATACTCAAAATATTATGTTAAACTCTAATATCTCAAATGAGCTAGTAAATCTAGTCTGTTCCACAGAGGGCCGTGTTGAATACAGAAGACACTGTGCCTCAACTCTATAGAATCCCCCTTTTAAAGACTTGTTTGCCACTAACAAAGATACATAAGAGGTCAAGTTGTACTTTCCAAGTCTGACCATGAGTTGTACCATGATACTGGACCCTTTCTGTCTAAGCTGACCAAATCCGGAGTGGTTGCAAGACTTGGAAAGGCCAAGGCTTGTTTCTTAATTTGTCTTTGATGGCAATCTCACTTAAAATTTGAACCCCAGCCAACTAGGGCTCCCTCAGCACAGAGACTTTGCTTGTCCCCCTACTTGCTGCCTAGATATATTTTAGTAAAATACTTTATTTCCATGCTCAGGAAACCAAGAAGTAAAACATTAAGTAAGCAAAGCTTGATTTAGACCACTTCAAAAGTGGTCAAATTGAATTCCTGCTTTCCACATCCACCACTCTTCCACTTCGGAGGAGTCATCTGACCACAGGGTTCACATTCAAGAATTCTGAAAAGTGTACATCCAACCATATGGTCCCCGCTTCCTGAGAGCGGTATCAGTTCTAAGAAAACATTGCAGTCTCACAAATCCTCGAGATCATTCCTCAGCCAACCTCGAAACACAAGACCACCACAATTCCCTGCCCTTTCTCCACTTGCTTCCTTTAGTCTCATCTGACTCAAATCAGAAGGGGTAAGACAAGCTTAACTCTCCAACATCCACTTCTCAGGAATATCCTAGCTCCATCCTTGTATGCAAACATCCTGTGACATATTCACCAAAAGATGCCAAATAGAAAAGCATTTTAAACAAAAGAGAATTAAGATGATGAAAAGTATACCCAGATGTTAGGCAAACTCAATGATCTCTTTGCCACAACATCAAGAAATATAAAAAACTGTACTGAAAGGCAACGCGCGCTCTACTAACCTGGGGGAAGAGAGAATATGTGGAATTGTCAATGGTGAATGAGTACAGAAACTCCCCGTCGTACCACATGCTCTTCCCCATGGGGGAATTCATTTTAGTCATAGCAAAGAGATGGGCGGGGTCACAGCAGTCTTCCATTTGTTTCCTAGGAGAGAAAACAGGGAGAGAGAAAAGAACAGCAGGTTAAGTGAGCAGTAGTCATCCACTTACCCTTCCCACAGTGCTATGCAGCCTCATCTCCATGCCAGCTCACAGACGCTTCAGCGTCTCCAGGGTGATTCAACTCCTACTAACTCACTTTCCCAACCATGCAAAGCACAGCTGCAATATTTCATGATTTTTACAAAGTTTAAGAAGAACACGTCAGCTCCCAGGTGCAGCTGAAATATGTCAAAAGGCAAAAAGAATCATCCTGGTTGCAGATTTGTTGACTGATTCAAACATCTGGGTCTACAAAGGGCCTGGAGAGTTAATTTTTGAAGACAGTTGAGCTACTGAGTCGCAGCAGAAATGCACCTGATGTCCTGCTCTTAACAAACCAGTGGTCACGTTCAGTGAGAAGGGCCGTAACACCAGCCACAGAGAATGCAGTGGCCCAAAAGAGGGTGAACTTCACAAAACTGAGGACAAGACTGGAGCACAACGCCCTAGCAAACCCTTTTGAGTAGAAATACAATGAAATGAGTGCTATGATCTCAGGCACTGTGAAAGCAAACTGCCTGCTCAGTGCTCACTGTTAGGCTCACAGGCCTCCTTGGGTCGAATTTTGTCTGGCCTCTCAGTGGGGTTTGCCATGGCTGAGCACCATGACCGTTGTGAAAGTCTGTCCTTGCTCCCTGAGGACCTGTAACACCAGCATCTCCCAGGCCATTGCACACCCCTGGGCTGGCTTGCAGGCCCCTCTCCTGCTTGCTCATTAAGTGTCAGTCATGTTCCTGTGCTTTGGGCACATTTACTTTACATAATCTTTATGTACTCCTCTCATTTATATATTCCTCTCATTAACAATCTGTCAGAACCCAAATCTGTTACTCATTGAGCTTTCATGAGTAAAAGCATCCTCCTCCTTCCACATCTCAGAAGACAAATACAACAAATGCTGCTATAAACCACTTATGAAATGCACTCCTGCATCTTTATTTATTTATTTAATTTGAAAGGCAGCTTTATAGAGAGAGGGAGTGTGGTGGAATGAGAAGGCTGTGCCAAGATGGCCGCTGGCAAGCGAGCATCAGTTACTCAGGAATGGCTTCAGAACCCACCTGGCAAAGGAGCCTGCCTGGCAACAGGCTGTGATTGGTTAGGGCACAGACCACCCCTTGACCAGATTGGCTGCCTCGGCTATATAAGCTGCTGTACCAACTGAAATAAACGAGTCCGCGGGCTGCTGGCCTCTTGGCCGCTTTCACCTGACTCCCGGGGTCTGTGTGGTGACTCTGCGCCTCTTGCCCCCACCGCGCTTCTCCTCACAGAACGAATCCACAGCAACATCTGGCACCCAATGTGACTGAGAGAGAGACAGAGTGTTGGACTTGGCAAGGTTCCCCCCTTGATTTTGGCAAGTAGGCCCCTCGGTGTTTTGTGTGCTGTTTGGCTCTATGAGGGTGAGCACAGAACCCCCTCCTACGCCCCTTTCCTTGTCCTTGTCCTTGGTCAAAGTGACCCCAGGTTAGGCACACACTGCCCAGAAGTGTAACACCACTTCTCAGCTCCTCCTTTTATTTTCGGCTCGCCTGGCAAATTCACATAAAAGACAGATCATCCCAGAATTCGGAACCAAGTCATCTTCCCTCACTCGAGAGAGGTGATCGGAGACACAGTGTGGGCATATGGCCTTGACCTAACAAATCAAGGAAGTTCCCCACTAAGCCCAGAACATACGTACGATCTGATATGCCACTGTCTGTCCATCTAACGTAGGGAACCCACTGCATAATGCCATCAGCAGCTAAGATGCTAGGAATTTGCTTTGTTATGGCAGCAGTGCTGTGCATGTCTTTCCTTTGGCTAGAGTTGGCATGGCGTGCTGCTCTTAAGTGCTCAAACATGGGAAAGGTACCCCCTTCTCAGAAGCCCACACTGATTACCAAACATTATGAATCTGTGAGTGCTAAGAGCCTGTCACTCCAGGCTTCTGCCTCACAGGCAACAGTGGATGACTGAGGGCGAGAGAGCTCCAACAGTGAAAATGCCGTGACAGCAGACAACACAGCAATGCCTGCTCAGCCACCCCCAAGATATCTGTGGGATGAACTTAGACGACCTCGAGGCAGTAACCCATGCAAGGTTATCCCATCCACACCCAGTGAGGATCCCCACATTTGTGGCAGTCCCCGGGCACCCGAGGCTCTCAGGGCAGCTGCTAGATCCCATCCCACCCGCATGTTTGCCATTAATCTCAGAGCGGACACAGAATTCAGGCCCTGGATTCCAACGCCCATGAAAAGGCTTCTGCTAACCAGGGGCCGAGGATATATTGTGTCTTTCCAGAGAATGCGGGACAGCCCATTTGGGTACCAGCCAGAAACATCAAGCCTGCAACTAACAGCCAACCAGAACCAGCTGAACAAGACTGAGATTCCACCTTCTTAGCGGATGCACCTGCTACCGATTGTCAAGCTGCTGCCCTATCATCCTGCCCTGAGGAACTGCCCACAGCCACATCCGTTACTGTTTTATACCCCACTAACTCTGGTCAGCTACTCGAATGGCCCACAGCCTGTGTCGGTCATGCCGTTCCTGATTACCATTGTTCCTCATTCCTACCCCCATCTGAGCAACCACTCCTGTGGTCTCCCATTCTGAGTACTGGTTAGTCAACGGGTAAGATTCCCTGGGGGACAACCTAAGACAGGCACAGCTGCGTACAGAGACCACATGGAAATGGGGTCAACAATGGTGTGGCCAAGGATCATGCCTCCTGTTGCTCAAAAATAAATGAAAAGGGGGAAATGTGGTGGAATGAGAAGGCCATGCCAAGATGGCTGCTGGCAAGTGAGCATCAGTTACTCAGGAATGGCTTCGAACCCACCTGGCAACAGAGTCTGCCTGGCAACAGGCTGTGATTGGTTAGTTCCAAGACTGGAACTCCATGTGAGTCTCCCACATGAGTGGCAGGGGCCCAAGCATGTAGGCCATCTTCTGCCTCTTTCCCAGGCACGTCAGCTGGGAGCTGGATTGGAAATGGAAACATTTCAAGTCCAACGGGACTTGAATTGGTGCCCATATGGGATGCTAGCATCACAAGTGGTGGCTTAACCCACTGCACCACAAATCCAGCCCCACTTCCAGGACATCTTTAGCCACCTAAGAATAGAACATTAGAGCTGAAAGTAGAGTGAAAGACCTGACTTCAAATCCTGACTCTGCTTCTAACTCCATAACTAGGTAAAGTTACTGAGCTGCATAACTGGCCTCTGTAACCATTTTTGCATGAGTGACAATTCTGAGAATGCACACGTAGAGTATATGGTAAAAGCTCTTATATGTTAATGTGTCACTCCCACCCCCCCACTCATGGAGGAACGACACTGGACCCTGCGCTGTTCTCTTTGCCCGGCCCTTCCTGGGTTTGCTGCCGGTCCCCCTCCCTCGCCTCCGTGGAGGGGCGGCACCCCCGCCGCTTTCCCCGCTTCCGCGGAGGAGCGGCACACCGCTGGCTGGCTCTCTCGGGGGCTGCTCAGATGTTCCTCAGGTGTTCCTGGTGCATGTTGTCTCTCTCCTCCTTTATAGTCCTCTTCCACCAATCCCAACTCTGCTGCCCACACGCTGAGCATGCTACTCTCCTCCAATCAGGAGCAGGATCAGCTCCTGCAACTTGTTAGTTAAATTGGTGAGGCAGCTGTGTGGAAGTTGTTTACTCTCTCTCAGCACCATATGGTGGGAGATCAGATGCATAGAATCAGTCCTAGCAGTTCCAGTAATTTAGTCTAGTCTCGGTTGCTCCCCACAGTAATGTTGCTACTATTATTCCACAGTCCCAACCTTATTGTTGATGTGATTACACCTAGTCAGAGAGGCTGCAGATTTATTTAATTTGTTGTTTATTTATTTATGAAAGGTTGAGAGAGAGACACACACACACAACTCAGGGTTGGGCAGATTGAAGCCAGGAGCCTGGATCTCAACTTGGGTTTCCCAAGTAGGTGGCAGGGACCCAAGTCCCTGGGCTATCACCTGCTACCTCCCAGGGAGTCTATTACTAGAAAGGTGGAATAGAAAGCCCCAAACCCAGGCACTCCACTGTGGGATGCAGGCATCCCGAGCAGCACCTTAAATGTCCATCACATCCTACAGCTTTAGAGACCTGGTGGTCTGGGCTGGCCTCTGGGGCCTGGGGCAGCCACCCTCTCCCTGCCACACTGTGCTTTCTCCCATGCTCTCTGACACCTTGGTTGGTTCCTCACGGAAACCTTCAGAGGTTTCAGTGGGAAGGAAGACAGGGGAGAGGGCTCAGGAGGGATGCCTTCGTCTCACCAGAAGCTGTGGGAAGCAGGATCCCTTCTCACCAGCAGCACGTCCCCTGCCTTTTCTCCTCCACTACATTAATTATGCATGGCTTACCACTCAGGAAGCGCCTTGATCAGAAGCAGTGAAGACTGAGCATGAAGGGGCTAGCATTGTGGCATAGTAGGTAAAGCTGCAGGCCTGAAGCACCAGCATCCCATCTGGGTTCCAGTTGGAGTCCCAGCTGCTCCACTTCTGACCCAGCTTCCTGCTAACATGCCTGAGAAAGCAGCGGAAGATTGGCCTAAGTACCTGGGTGCCTGTACCTATGTGGGAGATGCAGTTCCATGCTCTTGCTTTCAGCCTGAATGTTGTGGCCATTTGGAGAGTAAACCAGCAGATAGAAGATCAATCTTTCTCTTTCTCTCTCTCTCTTTCTCTCTCTTTTTCTCTTTCACATAAATAACTAAATCTTGTTTAAAAAAAATTGCCATGAGCAATGTAAAACACTGAGAATGGTTTAAGGCTACTTTTAAAAATGAGGGGAGTTGGGGCTGGCGCTGTGGCATAGTGAGTAAAGCTGCTGCCTACAGTGATGGCATCCCATATGGGCACCGGTTCAAGTCCCAGTGCCAGCTCTCTGCTATGGCCTGGGAAAGCAGTTCAAGATGGCCCAAGTCCTTGGGCATCTGCACCCTC